ACACAATCGTCCCAGCTCCCACGTTTGCTTCCTGTTTGTCTGTGTGGAAACACAGTCTTGCGCACTTATGATTTGAGGAAGCACGATTCAGTATAGCGGAATACTAAGAGAGACGACAAGACTTTGTATGGAGTCATATCTGTTCATTATTAGGCTCTGTATTAAGGGATCAGCCTGACTATGGACTCTGGACTTTGACTGATGGTATCCTGTGGCCATAATGACTGACTGTGACAATCTTCCTATTTAACACTGTATGTATTCTTTTGCAGAGGTGCTGATTTGATTCCCTATCTTTCAAACTATTGAACTACCTTGACTTATTAAAACATTAAATTATCATTGTAATTGAAATGGATTTGTCTGAATTACTTTAGTTCGTATCAACCTTTAGCAACTACAGCCTTCATCAAGAACTCAATGGGAATGTGGAAAACAACCCTAGAGGTCAACTTCAAGCCAATTGCACAAGTCAACATCAAGTGCGGTATCTACCAAGGAGAGACTCTGTCCCCGCTGCTGTTCTGAATAGGGCGGAACCCCCTCAGCCAGATCATCACCAAGAGTGGTTACGGATACTGACTACAGAACGGAGCAACCATCAGCCACCTCCTCTACATGGATGACATCAAGCTGCATGCCAGGAGTGAACAAGACATCGACTCACTGATCCACACCGCTAGGATCTACAGCCAGGACATTGGAATATCATTACGGACTGGATAAGTGTGGTCGAATGGTAACGAGGAGAGGGAAGGTAGTCAGAACTGAAGGGACTGCAAGACCAGAAGTGAAAACAGCAGATGTTGAGGACAGCTACAAGTACCTTGGGATTTCGCAGGCAAATGGGAACCATGAAGAGGCCACAAGGAAAGCAGCAACCACCAAGTACCTGTAGAGAGTAAGACAAGTCCTGAGAAGCCAGCTGAATGGGAAGAACAAAGTCTGGGAGATCAACACCTACGCCCTGCCGGTCATCAGGTACCTCGCTGGCATAATAAGCTGGCCAAAGGACGAGATAGAGGCCACTGACATAAAGACAAGGAAGCTCCTTACAATGCACGGTGGGTTTCACCCCAAGTCCAGCTTCCTGAGACTGTACACTAAGCGGAAGGAAGGAGGCAGAGGATTAGTGAGCGTCAGAGCCACTATCCAGGATGAAACAACAAAGATCCATGCATACATCAGGAAGATGGCCCCGAGTGATGACGTGCTTAGTGAATACCTCAGGCAGCAGGAACCAGAGGAACAAGGGAAGGAAGGGCAGGAACAAAGGAAGGACAAACCTCTGCATGGTATGTACCACCATCAAATATAAGAAGTGGCTGTGGCTCAGGAGGTAGAGTGGGTCACTTCTTAACTGGAGAATTAGCGGTTCGATTCCCGGCTTGTCCAGTGCACAGGTCAAAGTTTCCTTGAGCAAAACACTGAACCCCCAGTTGCTCCCGGTGATAACTCCGGTGTGTGAATGTGAGAGCGTTTGGGAGTGTGATTGGGCGAATGGCCAAATAGCGTGAAAGTGTGCTGTAAAGTACAGAAAGGCGCTATATAAGTACAAGACCATTTACCATATTGAAAAATCCTACCAGTGGCTGGACAAAGCTGGACTGAAAGACAGCACAGAGAGCCTGTTCCTGGCAGCACAGGAACAGGCTCCGAGTACAAGATCAAAAGAGACAGGGGTCTATCGTACCAGACAGAACCCCAGGTGCAGGCTGTGCAAAGATGCCCCTGAGACAATCCAGCACATAACAGCAGGGTGCAAGATGCTAGCAGCCAGGGCATACATGGAATGCTATAATGAAGTGGCCGGCATAGTGTACAGAAACATCTGTGCAGAGTACAGGCTGGAAGTGCCAAAGTCAAAATGGGATACACCTCCAAAGGTGGTTGAGAATGACCAAGCTAAGATCCTGTGGGACTTCCAGATACAGTGCCTTGCGAAAGTATTCGGCCCTCTTGAACTTTGCGACCTTTCGCCACATTTCAGGCTTCAAACAAAGATATAAAACTGTAATTTTTTGTGAAGAATCAACAACAAGTGGGACACAATCATGAAGTGGAACGAAATTTATTGGATATTTCAAACGTTTTTAACAAATAAA